CGGGTAAGATTGGAGCCCTTGTCTGTGCCATGGGAACTAAATGAACTTTCCACCAGCCTAAAAGATATCGCCTGATGGTCGGAACTCGTCTCAGATCGAAGGGTCCAATCGATGATGCGGTTTGCCAGCACCGGTGATACCAAAGTCACATCGATCCAGCTGTGGCCTCTTGCACTGGAGAACGTTGGGATAGCGGAGGAATTTTTTATGACTAGTAGCTGGCTCCTTGCTATAAATTCACCGAGGTGGACGCCTCTTCTATTGGTTCGATTGGACCCCCAGATCGTGTTCCAAGAGTTGGTATCTGAGCAGATGATCACGTTCCGAGTGCAAGCCGTGATCATCTCCACGGCGGTTATGTCCCTTTCTATGTCATTTCCATCAGGCATGTATGATGAAACTAGCGTATAGGAAATATTACGCCACTTAATATGACATGCGACACAATCCGCCGTGGTATACTGCCTCAGATCCATCACATCGATGTTAGGATTATTAATCACAATAGCAGCCCTGGGCCTCCTCTCTCTACTGCCCAAAGCTATGACTCTCGATGTGAGGCCAAACCCCGTTACTAAGTTCCCACGGCAGGTTGGTTCTTGAACCGCTATAACATCGTAGCGCGGATAAAGAGCCCGGAGTTCGTCTGCCACTATATGCCGGCGCCCCATGTTGAGCTGGAGGATGGTAAGCTCACTCATAAAAGGTCCTCTTCGCTACCTCTTTAGCCCACTTCAGATGCACAGGGCACTCCCGACTTCCCGCCTTGTGCTTCCTTTGACTAGCAGGCGCATTTACCCGCTCGCAGTTGATGCATGATGGGCTAGCCAGTTCTTTTTTCTTAGGGCAATCTTTAATAACATGGCCAGTGGACGCGCACCAAATGCAGACTACGGCATTTGATATGCAAGTGGCCTTAGTGTGCCCATATCTCTGGCATTTACTGCATCGAGGAGCGTCGAGGTAGTCTTTGATTGTAATACTCCACCATCCTCCATCTAAGCTTCCTATTTCCAACAGCAGGAAACGAACTGTAGGGTGCACTTCTATCACCCAATTCTTTGTAAAGCCATTTCTTGCCATTGAGGAAAAAAGTGGCCGGATATCATCTACGACCAACGGAGTGGGGACCGACTTCTCGGGTATTCTTTCCCATAAAAATCTCACCAACTCCGCTGAATCCCATGAGAGGGGGACGCCCTGAACCTCAAATCTAGGTTTCTTCCTCAAGGCAAGTTTGGCTTGAAGGCCACTGTCTCTTAGCCCTTGCCATCCAATCACCTTCGTGGCATCACTACTATTATCCATACGGACCAACACGGAGCCAGTCTTGGTCGTACGGACAATGGAGGCCTTTACTCCAATTTCGCTTGGTGAAGGCAACCCATTGATTATATCTGCTGGTCTCTTGCCCGTTCCGTTTATAGTGATATACGTCGATCTCTCAGTTTGAGTTGGCTTTGTAGGCAAAGATTTCACAATATCCGCAATGGTTATTGGTTTCTCTTGCCGTTGTTCTAGAGCTTTCGGTTCTATTGAGATCACTCTGTTTGACGAAGTAATTGCTTTATTGGTAGCTTTAGTTTTTTTCCCCCTTCTCTTACTCTTGACCGTTTCAAATCTCTCTGTTACCTCCGGAGAATGATCCATATCTTGACTAGCAAGTTGGTGCTGTTCTCCAGAGGGGCCTGCCTTAGGCTGTACATGTTGAGGTGCTGAACTTGAAAGAGCCTCCAAAACCTTTGGCATAGAAGTCTCAACGATAATTTTGGTTAACATGTCATGCACTTTCTCCGATGACAATGTTTCATTTATTGCTCTTTGGACAAGGGTAAGTACACTGTCATAACTATCTTGACTATCTTCGCCTTCTGAGGTCTCAATCATCTTAACAAGACATTGAATCTTGGTGCTAATATGGTCCCTAACACTACTTACGGGCTTGTTTTCATGTTTGACCATGTATAAACGGAGATTCTCCTGTATTCGCTTGGCTTCAAGAAATAGATTAGAGCCCTCTTCCAATTTCTTTTTAGCAACAGGGGAATCCTTCCTGGCCCTCTTTATCGTACGTTTTCGTTCTTTACGAGGTTCCACTCCTTCAACTATATTATCATGCAACATAGTAAATTAAAAGTGATGTAACCTTTAAATAAAAGAAAACTCACTTATCTTTCCTAAAGAGTCTTTGGGCTTCCTAGGGAAGCTTAAGGTAGTTATAGCTAACAAGGGGTAGAATAGTTTTCCTTAACACACTTTAAAACTATTTTCTGGAAAAATGTTAAGTAGTAGATAAAAAGGTTATAGTGAAATAAACTTGATGAGTCTTACACTGACACTTACCTTAAGGTACGACAATGTCTAACCCAATATTTCACTACTGAAGAACTTTACAAAACGCACTACAGAAATAACACTATAAAAGAAACACTTAACCTAACAGTCCAAAACTATATACACCAATAAAACGAAATTAACAGGAACAGTAACTACAAAATAACATAATTAATGAACAAACTAACAGAAACTTATTATGAAATAGAACAATTAACACAAAAACACTATAAATAATTAGAAAATACGTAATCAAAAGCTATAAGCAATTAGACTATAGACCTCGCATAACCTTCTACCATTATTTTTGCATCAGTATATCGACACCCACACTGCAGAAGGCTGTAAACACAATTTCCTTGGGAAACGAGATTTTGAGCTTTTCTGGTCAATCTTGTCCTGGCGCTTATTATAATCCCACAAAATGAAATCTACGATGTTTCATTCCTTCCCTATGGCCTTTCATAAAACAATGAAACTTAAAAACCAGCAAATTGAGATGTAAAAAAACTGTAAGTTATAGTAGTCATAGAGATTGTGTCGTTAACGAAATAACATAATTAAATTCTCAAAGTGATCGTGTAAATATAGAATACAAAAACGTTTTGCGCACATAATGAAGTATCAATTAGCTTTATTAACAAGCTAAACTTAATTTTTCTCATAGGCTTTGTATTCTTATTTTAAATTCCTAATAAGTTGCTGGCACTTCCAGCACGGTACCTCTGGGCAAATGTTCAGATTCCCCGGTTCTAGGACCAACACTGCTTACCGTGGAACCAGACGAAGCAAAGAAGAGAGTGGTAAGTGAGAATACAATATTGAACGACCTTCAAAACCTCCTGATAACTGCAGAATGAACTTGACTGGAAAAAAGCTACGATGCTGCCGAATTCCAGGGAGTGAAAGACAGGGAATTAATTTCAATAATTGGAAAATTTAACACGAGACGAAAAAAAAACTCTGGTTTCATCTTTTCAAACCAATGAATCTTCGAATCATAAAAAGCTCAGAAACGAAGCGATCATACATTAGCTGGTTACTAAGGACTTACCAAGCATTCGTGAATCAAACCATGTCCATATGAAGTTGAGTAAGTTAAAAACGAAACTTTCATAGACTATTCCAAAATGAGGTGCATGCATTCCGTACGAGCCGCCCGTAAAGTGGGAGACAAGAAAGTAAATAACCCGTGTGATCAAATACTTGCTTTCCAGTCAAATGTTTTATAAATTTTAATTTGAAATATAGTTTCTCTACATTTTGTAAACTGCCTTTGATCCTGTCATTGCTTGATCATAAATAACAAAGTTATGGGTGTTACTACAATAAATTTGATTGTTTTTACCTAACTAATACCTGGTTTCAAAGTAACTAAAAAGCTATAATTTAGAAGTTATGGCTCTAAAAGGTTATTTGACACAAGTACGATCAAAAATGTTGCATAGAGCATTACATCTTCGTCTTAGGCCTACGAAAAAAAATTGAACTGAAAATATAATGCTCATAGAACAAAAGTGAAGCAGTTTTTATTTTCTCCTGAGAATTTTTAGTTTTTTTGCTTACAGACTTTTGCGGTCTGTCGATACATTGTATCAGAAACTGTCTTAGAACAATTTATTAAATCGATGTTCAGTTAAATTCACTCTGGACTAATAGCAAAAAACCAAGTTAATGGATGTTATAGGTATTAATAGTCTAACTGATCAGAAAAAAAATAATATTTCCTTCAATTTTTTGTGAGGATCATGTGGCCAAATAATTTATGTATTTTCATTTTAATAAAATTTTATGTAAAATAAAACCTCAGTGGTTAGGGCACTAACTTCCAAAGCTCAAGGTCCCGGGTTCTATTTCGTCTGGTAGCAGGTAATTATTTATTCTGTTACATCAACAGTGGATCAACCCTTGTGTATCAGGTAAATCAACAAGGATACCCTCCTGAGACACACCCAGCCTCTATAAACTGGGTGCTCTTAATTTATTTAGAGGAAAGCCTGGCGATTGAATGTAATCTAGTTCAAATCACCTCCTTGTAAAACAGTTGACCAAGAAACAGTATTTCCTTAAAGAATAATGAGCCCAAAACACTTCACAGATTGTAGTGGTACAGGTTTTTTTAATGTTATGTAACTATGTATCTAGGTAGCAGGAACCATTTGTATAACCTGGCATTCAGCTCTATCAGTAGTTAAAAGATTATCTTTTTCTGAAAATGTTGACAACTTTATTAGGATACAATTAATCTAGATAGAAAGATAGAGTAATTAAATAAAAAACATCGACCAAATAGAGTCATTTCAACTTCCTCACAAATTACAATTACATTTACATAATTACATCATGTTTCAAGGTCTATGATTAGTCATTTCAAAGTAACTGTTTTTCAAGTAGCGTCTTATTAAAAAAAAAGCTTGTATAGTGTGCCTATCATACAACTTATACTTTCCATCTTATCTTGACTGGAAATATTTTCTAAAGATCTGGTTATTAATTTTATTATTAAAATCACTTTTACTTTGTTAGAGCTAAAATGAACTGTAAGAGGTTGAGGAGCTGCCCATTGTTAAAAATAAATAAATAAAAATAACTTTTATCATATCACATATTTGAAGTTTTGATGTACTCAAAATTTGTGGAATCTTTAAAAGATGACACTTTTGCAGGAGCTGCCATACAATTTGGGATCCTGTGAAGACTGCTGGGGTGGCCGCCACGACAAACTGCTGATTTGGGAACCAGGGAACAGCTCTAGGATACCCTCTGGTCCAGGTCCTGGGGCACACTGCCATTGTAGAAACACCGCCATCCAGATCGGAGCTCCAGTCGCCAGGGTCGTCTCCTCTTCTGAATCCCTCAGTCTAGAGCTGAGAGTTGATTCCTCTAGGGCTGCCTCCAACTATTTCAAGCACTCTGGAGCCCTCTTCGAAGGAAGATATGAGTTTGTGCACAGCCCACTCTGCGGCCCAGCAGTCATACCAGCCAGTACTGAAGGGGAACTGCATTTTCCACACTATGAGGCCTTAGGGTATACAGAGCCACCCAGGAGCATCAGGTGCATCTGGGAGATCAGGGTCAACAAGGATCGTGATGTCTGGCTTCATTTTGATAAGGTTAGTTATAATACAATTATTGTTACCTGACTAAGCAATAAATGTCACCTTACTAACCTCACCTTAACCTGAGCACAGTGGGGCGAGAAAGGGAAATCTCAGGACATTAATAATTTGTTAAGAATTAAAAATTTCTAACTTTAAAATATGTACAAACATGCTCTATGGGCCTTTGAAATATATCATTGTCCGTTTTCAAAAAATTCCAAAGGCCTTTAAAGGTAAAATTTTAATAACTCTGTTCAAAAGTTTGGTACTTTAATTTAAATAGTGTAAAATTAGAGGTTTCTTAAAATTAAATCTTTTGCTACTCAATTATAATGCTACTGAGCTTATCTTTTAAATATTGTACATTAACTACATTTTTTTCAGAAAGTCTTAAAACAAATAGAAAAGAAAACTGCATAACAAATGTAATTAGCTTATATGAGGACAAATGTTAAAATTTTGACGATAAAAAAAATGTATCGACAATATGGCTTTATAAACATTTCATCCAGAAGTTATTAATATTTGAACTATTGTTTTTCTAAAGACTCATGCCTAAAATAAATAATATTCATTTTTGCCCCTACTTACATTAATACATTGTGTTTATATGAAAATGTATAATTATTATCAGAATATATGTTATAAGAAAAATAATTAAATATTTAAAAAGTCTGTTTCACAATTATTAAAAAAAAAATGATTTGTTCTTAAATCAATATATCTATTATTATAAACATTATTTATTATTAAATCTGTACCATTAAATTAAACAAAAACTAAAATTTGAATCAATTAAAGGTTATACATCAGTTTAATAAAAGGAATATTTTTTAAATTAAAAGATATTGGTTTTTGCTTTACATAATATGTAATTATATTTTTTCCCTAGATTACATTCATTTTAAGTTTTACGAATTGAAATTACCATTTCAAATATTCTTTTATTTTCCTAATTATATTTATATCAATAGTCATTATACATTTTTATTTTGACACAATATATTTTTATTATTCAGCCAATTTCCACAACAAAAATTTTCAAAATACTATCTGTGGAGATAAAGTACAGTTTTAATTAAATAAATGTCTTAATCTAAAATTTGAAGTCTGCTGAAGTTTCACTTACATGACCGTGTTATTATTTTAACTTAATCCTTATTGAATATGAAAATAGTGGTGCATTGAACAAAATATGGTTTTGTATTATTATTAGGGTTTTATATTTTAAAAAAATAACAAATAAATTTTAAAAAATGAACGGATGAGTAATGCTGAAGAAAAAGTGGATTTCAAAAAATAAATCCTGGGTGGACTTATATAAATATCAACATAATCAGTATAGAACCATTATATTGATTTTAATAAGGTTCATTGTGAGTTTCGGTGCTTTCCTTTAGTTTATCCTAATTAAAATTCTTCATAACACATTATATTTTATGATCGGTTTTCATAGTAATAGCGCCTATGTTTGCACTTATTGATTTATTAGATAGCAATTTAGAAACTTCATTTGAATAAGCCAACAAGCATTAAGTAAATTCAACAAATTGTTAATGTATTTGGTATATTTTAGGTTCGATTCACGACACGAGATTGTCAGGATGGAAGGCTGGAGGTGTACCTACCTGGACGACCTGACCATCCTTTCATGTCAATCTGTGGCCATAATGTTAGCTCAAAAGAAATGCCACCTCTTACCTCAGTCGATCTCACTGGACAAACCCCTGGGGAGTCTCCTTCTGTGAGGATCCAATTCATCGGGACCATGACTCCAGCTCGAGCAGCATTCAAGATAGCATGGACAGAGCTTTTCCACCTGCCTCGCAATCCTGATGGGACTCTCATGACCAGTAAACTCACTGAGGTAAATGAGAAATCCTCAGATGTTGCTTTTCTTTTTTAAATGAGACATTTTAAGAAAATTTTAAAAACATTTAAAAAGTACTTTTGAGGGGCTAAACTAAGCTAAGTTCAGTTTATAAAAAAAAAAATTATTTGAATTTTTTTGTCATCCTCCAACAATTGATACCCCACTTTTGAAAAAACTTCCTCATTTAAACAAGTTGAGATCACCTCAATTAGTGTAACAAAATTATCTCATTTCATATCCTATCACCTAAAAGTGCCCATGTTTTCAGCAATGGTTTTAAAAAGACCAAACTCTACTTTTATTTTAAATAAATTTTTTCGAGTTTACATTGAAATATTTTTTTAATTGTTTGAAACTAAATATTTTTTTTTTAGTTATCACTTTTTATTCAACAAAAAATGTAACTTACTCAAAAAACACAAAACTATAATTTCCTACTTTTCTGCTCGAAATTGGTCCATTGGTTATATGAACTTATTTGTACCTCTTGAGGTCTGCTATCACCCCTATAAATATTTCTCTCTACTTATGGAACACCCTGCGTAACAATGAATGTCTCAATAGATGACAAAAGACCAAGTGGAAGGCCAAAAAGCAGACGGATAGATTGAATCAACAACGATGCAATAGAGCTACATGCAAATAACTGGAAAGAAATAGCCTAAGACAGGCAGAGATGAAGTAGACTTGTTAATGCGGCAAAAGATCTACAAGGTCCGTAATTCCAACAGAAATTTAAAAAAATTTATTAACCCATTAGATGCACAATACCAATATAGTGGCTCTTGAAAGACCATGTCCGCAGAGCCAATATATTGGATTCAGCTTTTTATCGTTTAGTTGCGCAAAACCAACATTCCAGCTCATTACAGAGGTCTCTACCAGGTACCCCATGAGCCATAGCTTGTTGCTGAAACCATTAGATAGCATGAGATGTATTATTTAGTCGCGGGTATCCTTTAGGGTGAGGGGTCTGACCTTTCTCTAGTCTTTTGAAAACAGTTTAGCTCTAAAACTAACAGCGGTTCGTAATGTTTTGAAACGTGAAAGTAGAACATTAGTTTTAAATTCTTAAAAAAAGTTTTAATTTTTTTTTTTAAATTGATGTATATGTAATCAAATTTGTCACACAATAAGACGTTTTTATTTTTTCATATCTAATATAATCAGAAACTAGTTAAGAATAAACAAATAAAAAAATTCAAATGAAGAATAAAAAATAATGACACAATATGTACCAAAAAAAAAAGTACAATTTATCAAAAAATAATGTAAATGTTACAGTATGATGTAAAAGTAATGTAATAAATGTAATATAATAAATAAATATTTTTTTTTTTTTTTTTTTTTTTTTTATAACAATCTGTCTGTTGGACATTGGTTATAGTGAGGTAGGATGACATTCACACTATATGTACAAAAAAATAAAATAAATAGAACAAAATAATAATCAAAAGTATATACAATAGACAATAAAATAAAATAACCTAAAAAATAAGAAAATTAAAACTAAGAAAAAAAAACACATGCATACCTATATACAATCAGGCGAGGGAACTCCAGGAGAACCCTGCGCTACTCTCCCAACTTCGCCACTGGTACTAAAGCCAGCGGAGATTGGTCGAGAGCACTATAAGGTTGTTTAAAATTTAAAAAAAATATTTAACTGTTTATTGAAATATGAGCAAACATCATATTAAAGAAAAATGTATAAGTAAGTTATAAAAAAAAAAAAAAGCAATTCTGTCAATAAATCCCATACTAAGAGGGTTGGCTAGTCCTTCAAATCCCGCACACAGAACCTGACTTTGATTCAATCTCCGGACAACTAAAATTTTAAGTTATGAATAGCAACAATTATTTAATTTTTACATAAAGTATTTTTAAAAATAACTTTTTATGTATGTCTGCTTTAGGAACTAGGAGCAAGTGCTTCGCCTAAAGGAGAATGTGACTTTTTATGCCCGGGGGATTCTGGACTCTGTATACCTGGCCATTTGGTGTGCAACGGAATCGTTAACTGCCCTGGCTGGCACAATGAGAGTGGAGACGAAGGTCCTGAGACATGCGCTGCAAGAGCAGAGCCGCCACCAACTAACTGGACAATATTGGGTCTTGGGGCTTGTGGTGGTGCCCTATTGGCCCTTGCTTGTCTCATTCTGGCCTGTAGAATCTGTTGTCCTTGTTGCTCCAAGTCTCCTGATGATACCGACTACTGATACCCCACACCTCCCCTCAACTGTAAATAATGTACAGACTAGGGATCTGGGGGCTTCCTTGACAATGATTAGTTGACTAGTTGGCATGCTCAGCAAGTCAGAACCTGAATGTATCTTTAAAAAGATGATATTAAGCTAAACCATGTAAACCTCTTATAACACTACATTTGTACATGAGCATTGAGATGTCCATATTTTTTTATTGTTAATAAGTATTCAAAAATGTTTTATTGGACAGTCTTTTTATTTATTGGTTTCCTCATTATCATGTTTTCTCACTTTAATTTGATCTTTTATTCCCCAATAAAAATAAACTTGTGATCACTGCCAGGGGGAATGTAATTATTAATTTATTTATTAAAAAACAAATATTTAATTGGCAGTTTAATTAAAAAGTTATAAGAACCAATTTCTTCAAATGACTGAAAAAGCTCAGCACAAATTTCACTGGCTGTAGCAATTTTATTAAAATATATTTAATATAGCATATTTTGACTGATTAAGTATAACATTTTATTTGATATAATTCTCATCATCTCCACAAAAATCATGAAAATGTGTTAATTTTATTAACAGATTAAATTAAAAAATAATAAACCCATTATATCCAATTTATTAATGTTTTCTAGATTGTGAAAAAAAATATATATATTTTCTAATTTTGAGGGAAAATACAACTGTTCTTAAACATTTTGTTTAAAAAAAACAAAACAATGAAAAATGCCATAACACACTGAACTAAATTATATTGCATAGAATTCTGCTTAAAATCAAATTTGAACTAAAAATTATAAAATTTCTTTATAATAGTTAAGTAGAAAACAACATGTAAATAAAGAGATCTTTAGAAGTTCTGCTGGAGCCTTTAAAAAAAAAATTGAATAAGTAAAAATATTTTTGTAAAATAGATAAATATTTATGTTCCTTGTTTTAACAGCAATAATTTATTAACCTATATTAACAAGAAAAATAATTAGTAATGAGGTATTTTATTGTATATTGGGCATCAACTAAATAAATTTCATTTTCACAAAATCATACATCAGCAATTATTTCATTTTTATTTATTTAATTTTTGTGATTTTTAATATTCTTTAGTTAAATATATTAAACTATTTAAGTCAGCACAATGTATATTAAAATTATAAAAATATACATACAAAAAAATAATAAGTAGATTTCGTAAAAAAAATGATCCTCTATATCATGACAAATGTTCAGATTAAATTTTGAATTTAAATTACTTAATGCTATTTAATTATTATAAGAATCAATGCTATCTACTCTAACATATAAAACTATTTTACTGTAATTAAACTTTTGCCGAGGAAACCAATTGAAGAGAACACCTAGTAATTGCTCATAATATTTATCAAAGAAATGTCCAAAAACTGATAAGCATTTCTTTAAAGTTTTGTAGACGAACAGTATATGTCAATATGGTTTAAGTATTTTCTATAATGAGGGATGGTTAAAAGTAAAATCACATAATTTTAAATAAAAAAGTTAAGATTTTATATTATTGTATAGTTTCTATAAATAAAATTGATAACTATAAGAATATATTATTAATGTGTACATTTTGTACATAAAGTATCTTCAATACTCACATATGATAGTTACGATTCTTTGCAGTTTGCACAATTAAAGATCTTGTAGCTTAAATCACATTAAATGTTTTACTGTTTAAAAGGAAAATAAATAATACATCTTCAATCAGATTTTCTATACTATACTTACAGTAAAGTGTACATTTTACTTACATTAGTTACAGTAAAATGAAAATTTTATTTCATAACCTTGTTTCTTTTATATTAGTATCATATATCATGGAATGTTGAATTTGTGAACAACTAAACAATATTATAACCTTTATTTTTTTTTCTTTCTTATATTCCAAAGTTGGCTTTAGGACTGATTACCTCTTGGGTACTACCCAACAAACGTCCTCAATATTTACTGCATCTGACTGTAAAAATTAATTACTAATCACCAGAGTTCACAAAATCGATTAAGATATATTATTCTTTAGTTGTAAATGTATATATATATATATATATATTATATATAGTTATATATATATATATATATAGTTATATATATATATATATATATATATATATATATATATATAGTTATATATATATATATATATATATATATATATATATATATATATATATATATATATATATATATATATATATCATTAAAAGCCTTTATTTATATATATATATACATATATATATATATACATAAGGGTTCTTAATGATGATACAGTGTTATTTTTTAAGTATTTCTGTACTCATTAAAATTATACTTTTAATTTTAACTACTGTCACTTGAGCTTCATATTTTTTTTTTTTTTTAAGTAACATTTAAAATAGTTTTCAAGAAATAGTTGCAGTTTAAATTTAAACAATCAAAAATTGCCACTAGAATAACGTCATTTCAGATAGTTATTTATTTTATTATTGTGCCAGTAGAACGGGAAAACAAATTAAGTCTTTCAAGAACTTATGATTCACTAAACCAAAATAAATGGATCAAAAACTGTAGGAATTGATCATAGCAGTTGAGAAATATATATCACCTGTCTATCAATAACAAAATATCATTTCCATCTAATATTATAATAAAATTAAATGTTGTCAGTGTAAATAAAAGTCTATGGTTATGCCCAATGGAGATTTTATAATTGGCTTCATTTCAGTGACCGATTATACTTCATACTCTTGTCAGTAGGTTCACTTTTTTGAAAATATGTGATATTTGTAAAATATTTTTTGCTACATGTTAGTTTGTAGGATATATAATGAAAATGGTATGCTACTTTTCTAAATTGTCATCTTCATGCATTAGTAAAGTAGCATAGGAACATAAGGATATATTCTTAGTTTGTTAAAACTTTGATTTTAACCATTTTTCTGGACTCAGAATCGTAAGAGTCGAGTCTTTTCGTCATAGCTGTGGTAAATTGTTGTTTAATGATATGAGCTTTGTATGCTAGAGTGTTGTGACACATTATTGACCATTTAAATCGCTCATTCAGTCATGAATACCTCAAATCTATTTTTTTAAACTACGCATAATTTTCAACTATTCTGTTTGTTATAAATCAGACTAATATATTTTCTGTTAATGGTTTTTATAATATCCATTCACCAGCTTCTTATGCCATGCTATCAATAAATAGTGGAACTGCTTAAATTGGATTTATTTTAAGTGGTACATATATATATTTATTCAGATAACCATGAGCCCACTTATGAAAATTTCTTTGTTGTAATATGCTGAAAACTCATGTTCATTTTTAAGATTTTTAATTGGGTTTTGTGAGAAAATGTAAAAAAAAAAAGGTTGAATACCTCAATAGAATATTTATATACTTTTTTCCATTATTTGCCCAATAAAATTGCTATAAGTAATTAGGTACAGTATCTCTTATTAGAGGATATTCTTTTTATTGTTTTTTTTCTCTTGTATTTATTGTCATGTTTTAATGTTATGTACCCCAACATTTGAAGTTTCATGATGATAGCGAGAAATGTTCTGAATGTGTTCTAGATGAATGTAAGAAACTGTTAACATTTTCATGTGTGAAATATATGTCTAATATTAAAATAATTGTACAAGTAGTGTACATAAATACAACTATTATTTTGTGGTCAAAGCATTTAGCATTAAAGTAAAAACTAAATCTTTGACAAGTTAATCAGACTCAAAGTGTAAAGTTTTATCTTTCACCATTCAATGTACAGTAAATTTAATGTTGTATTTTTAAAAAAAGTAGTTCACTGCTTCTTGATACTCGCTGAATTAGGATGTTTTAGACTTACTATGATGTAAGAACCAATCCTGTATACACCTTTAGAAATGATGTCAAGATGTATAGAAGCAACTGTTATATATTTTTCATAATAAAATAGATGTTTAAATATACATAATACGTTTTAATTCAGTTTATAAGTGTTTCCTTGTTTCCTTCTGTGAAATTTTATTTTTATTTTATAACGAGTGTATATATTCTATAATAAGTGTGTAAATTGTATAATGAGTACTTTTCATGGCCTTTTCAAAATATAATTTGAATATAATACATTTTTCCTAAATAGAAACCTAAATTTAAGCAAAATGAATTGTTCTTTCTTTGTATCACTTAATTGTCAGAAACATAATTTATTAATTTATATTCATATTTCTCACGAAGTCATATTCATTACCTCCAACATCATTTGGCATTCGAAATTGTAGACATTTTCTCATCATGTATTTTATTATTAATAATTGCTGGTTGAAAGCTCAGGGCGGCACTCCCCATCTTCAGAACATCTTTTAAAATTTATGAAAATAAAAACATTTTAACATAACTTACATAATTCTTATTTTAACTAATTTTCTAATAATAATTTAGGTATGTAACTTGTCATTATATGAATAATCTCTCAATTTTTGCTATAAAAGTAGTTTAAATAAGAATTATGCTAAAATCGTTTTATTGTTCATGAATTTTATTAAAGAATGTTGCGAAGATGGAGTCTGTTGCCCTGAAATCTCAAACAATAATTATTAATAATAATATATATGGTGAGGTGAAAACTGGATGTCAAATGATTTTTGAAAAGATTAACTAATTTACATTAATTACTAATGAGCATCAAAATCTATGATAAATTAATTACAAACTCATAACCAGCTTTGTAATGGAATGATTATTAAGTAAACTTTAAATATTGGTAAAGACTTATTGGATCAGTGACATAAAACCTAATCTAACAAAAAAGATTTCTTCTGAGTAATCATTCTGCACCTTTTTGATCTTCAGATGCCTTAAGGCTCCTACACACTTTCTGAGAGAGTGCCCAACCCCTCTTACTTAATGATTTACTCTTCCCTCTAAGTCATGAACTCACACTCTTTCTCACCAACACCAAACTTACCCTGCCATTTTTTATTTATCATTTATGATGTCAATTCTATCTTGCACAGACTGACTCCCAATCATTGCTTACTACAGTAAATAAAAACTAAATATATATTCAATCCTCCTCTTTAGTTTCTTGAAGCACAGTAGGGATTTAGGTCTAGTCAGTAAGTTGTTTTGTAAGTTCCAAGTTATTAAAAGAGTTTTTCAGTTCTTTTTTTCATTAAAATTCCTGAAGAAGAATATAGAAAACAATTTAAACATGTTGAAATATTATAAAAATGTTATGAAAACCTTGCATAAATGTGTGACAGTGACCAGAAAAAGTTTTCATACTAATAGGATATAAAAACATCAATAAAATAATTCATTCCAACATATTTATTTTTATTTTAACCTCTAAGTATAATTTCAAAATCAATTTTTTTTTAAATATTTACATGACTATAAATATATATACTTTGAAAAAAATTTAAGAGTAAAATAAGAGATTAATGCAGCAAAAGTTTTTATACAAACTCACATTATATAATAAAGTATTTATTAATTTTATTAAAAAAATTTATATCAATATTTTAAATGAGGTCTTTTGTTTTTTAGTACCATTTTAAGTCATTAGAGTATTGTGGAGGTCAACTTCGAAGTTTATTTGGAGGGTATTTTTCTTCATACTTCTAACAATTTAGCTATAAATTGATAACAAGATATTTTTTGCTGGCACTATATTTTGATTTTTGAGCTGTGAATCGAGACTTAAATTAAGACAGATAAGATTTAAATCTGGATTCTAGAGAGGAATTTCATGTTCATTTGGATAAATATATAGAAGTTCTTCCATATATTCCATATATTCCAGGGGAAATTAATCTGGTAAAATTTAAATGTTTGTTTCAAAACCATTTTTTCTGCACAAGCCCTAACATTCTATGCAATTAACAATTAATTAAGAAATAAATGAGAACAATTAGGAAAACAAGCTGGACCAGATATGATTCAAAGAATATTAAAACAATATAGATTGAAAGTCCAAATGAATAGATATGACCACTCATAAATTTAATAAATAAGAAAAAAGATTATCCCTCGCTAAATACGATATGAAAAAAGCGCAATAAGTTAATGGAATAATGTAATTTATTCAGATAAAAACAAATTTAATATTGATATTGAGGAGGAAAGTTGAAAAGGAATTTGAATGTTAGTTATATACCCAGCCCTTAAATTTCATTTTAGTTAATTTAAACTTATACTCCTCCATCATATCAATAAAAACCAAATTCCAGACTCCAAAGCAAACATATGTACCCTCACAAAAACACTCCCTGCTCTATCTTTCATGGTAGCTCAAAAATGTATTAGTTAAAACTCTGTTTCAACTTTCCTCCACACAATCGATTTAAAATATTTTTTCATCTTAATAAATTACATTATTTCATTAACTTATTGGATTATTTGTTATTTGGCGAGGGCTATTTCTTTCTTATAATCCAGGAAGTCAAAAATGGGATGGAAAAGAAATGCTGCAATGGAAATGAGGAATACATATATCCCTAATAGTCTCCCCTGTTAAACATGAAGAAAGTCACCCATGGTCTGCGATGGTAGGAATACTGCTGGAGTGAGAATGCTTGAATTTAAATATAATATCATAGATCAGATAAAATAAATAATAAATGATATAACAACCCCAAACACACAGCACGTAAAAATGTGGATTTAGATACAAAAGAAGCCTTTCTAAAATCCTTACAAGTGAAACCATGCTTCACTTTATGATAAATAAGACACCAAGTTATCCATGATACTGAGACAACCAATGCAATCAGCTGGTGATGCAGATGTGATTATTCCACAAAAAGGAGGCCTAAAGGTCAATCAGATCTCAATATAGAATCAGTATCTCAACATGTATTGATTTATTCTCACTATACACAATTGTATAAGTAGTGGTCATGCTTCATTCACTTCACAGTTTGGCCAAAAAAAATATATGTCATTTAAAAATTTCGGTCACCTTGGGGCATACATTTTTTTTTTCAAATAGTGAGTTTTTTGACTTCTTAACAATATTTATAGATGTTTTAGAAGTTCTGGTAATGTTAGCAAACATAATCATCAACACAACCATAGATACGTCATTTTGCAAAAAATTAATACCATTATTTTTTTCTCTTAGAGTATGGGCTATTTTAACACCAAATTACTATATATATTATTTTTTTTTATATATTTACAACTTTATACATATACAATAAGTAAATCTGCTAAAATGATAAATAAAACATGATAAAAACTTGTAAAGAAAGTACCCATTGGTAGCACTTTCAAAAATTA